TGTGGCTGAATCCTGAGGAGGTGCTGCTGAAAAGCGCACTCAAGCTGTGGGTGCAGTAGTGCTCCCACTGCTACTTTGTGCTGCAGCGGCGGTGGGGCTATGGGGAGGAGAGCTGGGGGTTGACAGAGAAGCCCCCCCACCTCCTTGCCCTCCCCCTCCTTTGGGGGGCTCTCCTGAGAGCCTCGGGGGTCTCCCCCACATGCCGCCTGGGCTGCCCCAGGGGAGGGGGTTGCTTTTGCTGGTGGTCTTCCTCTCCTCCCAACAGCCCTGCCAGGTGGGACAAAGGTGAGAAGGATCCCAGGCTGGGGGCCGTTCCTGTGGTTGGGCAGCCGGAGTGGATGGAAGGGTCCCAAGGAGGGGAATGAACCACCACTGGTTTCCTTTGCAGTTAGCATTACTCAGTTGTGGTTGTTAGGGGGAGACTTCAGCGGCCCTTCCTGCCTTGGAGGGCTGGCTGGAGAGAGAGGCCGCAGGCCCCTTTTCAGTTCTCTAGCAGCAAAATGTTGTGGGGAGGCCCTGGAACCCCGCTATGATGGGCAGAGGTAGGGTTTTTTTTCCCCTTTTTTGCTTTCTGTCCTGGCACACCACAGCCCTGCAAGGTGGGAAGGTTAGGCTGAGCGATATGGGGTGTGTGAGCTTTATGGGAGGTTGCACATAGGTGTTTTTCTGTTTTCTTCCCTTATTTTAGGCTTACAACAACCTTGTGAGGTTAGTAGGTTACATCTAAGGAACCATATCTTGGGTCTCAAGAAAAAACAGCAAGTTCAATGAGGTTTCAATCCTACCTATCATTAGTCTGGGACAGAGATGGGAAGGCCTGGCTTTTCCCCCCCATTTCTTTCCAAAGCTGCTGTTTGTTTGTTTGTTTTCCAGAAAAGGTGAAAAAAATATGGAGTGTGGAATATGTTCTTTTACAAAGATAAATAATATGTCTATGGCATGGTATTCAATTTATGTAGGGCAGGGGTCTCAAACTCAATTTACCTGGGGGCCGCTGGAGGCAGAGTTTGGGTGATGCTGGGCCGCATCAGATTTTCTGCCAAGCGGATGAAGAGCCTGAGGAAGCCACCCAGGAATTTCCTTAGCCCAGCTGGGGCTCAGAGGAGGAGGGGCGTGCGAGCCCTTGTCGCCAGCCATGACCCCCTCTGGCTCCTTCTTCACTACTACCACCAGCAGCAGCAGCAGGACGAAGAAGCGGAGAAGGGAGACCGCCTAGCTGGGGGGGGGGGAGGAGGGCACGACATAAAATTTAAAAAAAAAACCCTCTCAGAATTGCCTTGACAAAGGAGAAAAGCCCCCATCGGTACCTGAACAGAATGGGGCGGGGCCCCCATAGGTGCACATGTGCATGCACACAAACACACACACACACATACACATGGAGGTCCGGCAACCTTCCTCTGAAGTCCTCCCTCAAAAAGGTGCATTCAGCAGCAGCAGCTACCCCCACCACGACAGAGAAACAAACTTTGCGAGGCGTACCCAGGCAGCCTCCAGAGCCGAGGCGGCTGAAGCAGGATGAAGAGGAGGAGGAGGAAGCACCACCGGGCACTGAGGCGGCCACTGGCCAGGCTGGTGCTGGGGGTGACGAGAGAGAAAGAGAGCCAGAAAGCCACTTCCCTGGAAGAGGTGGCGGCAGCTACTTTTGGCAGCTTGGAGGCGCTCTTCGAGGATGGGCCGGGAATGAGCTACCCTCTCAGGCATCGCTCGGCAGCGGCTCTTGCACTCGGGAGAAAGGGCCGGCACTTCAGGGGGAGGCAGGCAAGGCAGGGGCCACAAACTATCATCTGGGAGGACACAAATGGCCCCCAGGCCACGTTTGAGACCCCTGATATAGGGTCTTCTTAAAACATGAAGACCCTAACAAAATACCTCGGAGACTTTATGTATTTCAGTTCTCTTTAGAGATGTAAAATTTCTAGAAATTTTCATTTTTCCCAGGAAAAATAAATATTTTCATAAATTTTACATCTCAAGTCTAGTGTTTTTAAATGTGAAATTGCTGTTGTACCAGAAGATCCTCAAGGATTGGGAGAGTTACTTCTTGAGCTACGGTGCAATAACAAAGCACGTTCAGTGGTGCCCCGCTTAACGATCCCTCGGAGACTTTATGTATTTCAGTTCTCTTTAGAGATGTAAAATTTCTAGAAATTTTCATTTTTCCCAGGAAAAATAAATATTTTCATAAATTTTACATCTCAAGTCTAGTGTTTTTAAATGTGAAATTGCTGTTGTACCAGAAGATCCTCAAGGATTGGGAGAGTTACTTCTTGAGCTACGGTGCAATAACAAAGCACGTTCAGTGGTGCCCCGCTTAACGATCACCTCATTAAATGACAAATCCGCTTTACGATGGGTTTTTTGCGATCGCTATTCGATCGCAAAACAATGTTCCTATGGGGAAAGTTTGCTTTATTACGATTGGTTCCCTGCTTTGGGAACCGATTCTTCGCATTACGATGATTTCCAAACAGCTGATCGGCGGGTCGCAAAATGGCCACCCGCTGTGCAAAATGGCTCCCCGCTGTTTTTAGGATGGATTCCTCGCTTAACAAGCACCGGAAAATGGCCTCCCTATGGAGGATCTTCGCTGCACGATGAGGTATTTCGCCCATTGGAACACATTGAACAGTTTTCAATGCATTTCAATGGATTTTTTAATTTTGCTTGACGACGATTTCGCTTAACAGCGATTTGAACGGAACAGATTATCGTCGTCAAGTGAGGCACCAGTGTATTGCATTTGAAAACAAAGCAGATCTGGCAAATTTTTGGATGTCAACAGTTGCAAAGGCATTCAAAATTCCACATGAGGAGGCAGTCAAAAAGTTGCTGCCTTTTGTAACAGCCTACCTTTGTGAACAAGGATTTTCCACTCTTATGGAAATAAAAACAAAGCAGAGAAATTGATTGGACCCTGAAGACTGCATCCATATTGCTCTGACATCAAGATGCCCCAATATTGATGCTCTCGTATCCAAGACGAAGCAATATCATTTCTCCAAAACCTAAAGTTTTCAAGTAAGCTGAAGCTTTCGAAGTAATTTTGAATAGATTCAATAAGATTTTGAATTCAAATAATGTATGATTTCCTTCCTTTAAAATCAAGTGGGTAATGTTGGCATATATGATTTTTTTGGGGGGGTAAAAGGTGAAAAAGTTCCCTGACCCCTGTTTTAGACAGTCTGTTTGTTTTAATGTTTAGACAGTTTGTTTTAATGAGATGAACCTATTAAATCTGCCAGTGGCTAAAATTACCAAAAGATACCAGCGAACAACTAAAGATTAGGTACAAAGTTAAACACAACTGATTACTGTTAAGAAATAACAGTTTTAATAACTATTAAAAGCACCAAAATTTTATAAAATTAAAAAAAATTGAATTGACAACAATTTCAAAACATGTATTCTCAGAAAGTGACTGGGTTGCTGAAAAGGGACTTTCCCCAGAATGTGTGTGTATGCTGCATTTTTAAACTGGTTTATTCAGCTATCTTATGATGTTATAACTTGTTTGCATTTTTCCACAGCATATTTTTGGGTCTTTATTTCTCCCCTTTTAATCTTGTTATGATTCTTGTTCATTTTTAGTTTTGGGAGAAAGGTGGGATGTCAATCAAATAAATACAGAGAAAATTGGGGACATGTAGTAAGTTGATGGAAAAGTTAAATGAACTTCTCTTAGTTTTGCATAAAATTGTAGTTACTTTGGATAGCTGGAAAGAGCAGCATAGTAACAGTGAAAGGCATCTGATCTCAACAAATCAAAAATAAAGTATTTACAAATATATTCATACAGCTCCTCAAATTAAGAAGACATGCTTTGGGAGAGGACAGATGCTGGAGACATAAAATTTTGTGAGTGCTGATTTGTTATATATTTTAAGCAGCGGGTTTTGAGAAAGATAAAAGATATAAAAGGACATGAAAGGAATTCCTTTTCTACAGTTGCAGTTTAGGTTTTATTAAAGATGTTCACACGGAAGGTTTATAATTAGGTACATATTATGCAAGACAGTCTGCTCGTAGATGGAAATATTTCCATTTTCTTCTGCATTCATACAAATGGAAATGTCCTGGCAGAGGTAAAACATGTTAGTACAGATTTCTTTCCTGATAAAAGTAAGAGTATCAAGAAGATGGAATTGTACAGCAAGGAGGTGACATAACAGTCTTGTACACTGTAGCACACCCATATTGTGTTCCATGGTAATTGCAAATTATAGAACTGCAGAGCTGAAAGGGACTTCCAATGTCATAGAGTCCAGCCCCCTGCCAGTGTAGGAAATGCACAGCTAAAGCATCCCTGATAGATGGCGATCCAACCTCTACTTAAAAATCTCCAGTAAAGGAGAGTCTACCACCCTCCTAGACTATCGATTCTACTCTTGAATGGCTTGGTTTCCAGACTTCTTACAATTCTGAGTCCCATTCCCTCAACATTCCACCTTCTTGACATCCTTCTTAAAACTGTGAAAACTGTGAACTGGACACAGTACTCTAGGTAAAATCTGACCAAAGCAGAATAGAGCGATACTATAGGTAAAGTCTGACCAAAGCAGAATAGAGCAATACTGTTAATTTTTCTACTTCACGCTGTTGGTTCATGTTTAGCTTGGGACCTACAAGATACATCGATTCTTTTCACATATACTGCTTACAAGCCAGCATTCATACAAGACAGTATACTGTACATATCTATATCGCAAAATAATACATCTGTTAAAGGCAAGGCCTTAAATAACTGCAGTATCTCAGCATTTTGGAACATGAGTTAACATGTAATGCCTTTGACACAATTTCTGAAATGATGGATTTTTTTACATTAATTTGTAAATACCATCCATGCAAAAAGCCTAAAAGACTTTATGTTTTCAAACCACAGGTAATCATGGGCCTCAAATTTTGTGCCATTCTGAAGTATCTGTCCCACCATGCAGTTGCAGAAATATTACTTTTTATTCAAAACTAATCATCAATTGATTGTCTTAAACACTTACCAGTGTAATGTCTCTAGAAGCTGCTGCAGCACTCATATGTAAGCTTGGTTGCCGAACAGAACTACTACAGTCTAGAGCACGAGCAAATGTACCAACAGAGCTAAAAAGAATGAAGATAAAGTTAATTTTCCATGTAAGAGTGAAAACACATATAACTGAAGTTGGTGAAAGAATCTATCATTTTTAGTATGCTCCTTTTATTCCTTTTCATTTATGGTTTTGTAATGATTGTGTTTACAGTGGGGTCTTGACTTACGAACGGCCCGCGTTATGAACATTTTGACTTACGAACCGCTCTCATAGGAAAATATTGACTTGACTTGCGTACTTAGATTTGAGTTACGAACTGAAAAAAACCACGTGGGAGGCAGGGAAAGTGCAAAATTTGAACTTTCAGTTAACTGTTGGCCAGTGAAAAGGGTGCCTGTCTGCTTCCTCACTCCTCCCAGCGTTTAGAGAGTGGATTGGGAGACAGTCTTCAGACTGCCTGGTACTGCCTGGACTGTATTTTCCCTGCCTTCCCTGAACCTTTCTTGACCTAAGAAAGAAAGAAAGAAAATATCCCCCTCTAGTGGTCGAAGACGGAATAGCAGCTTCCCATTAGTTTCTATGGACGGAAAAGAGCAGATACGGATCGAATGGTTTTCAATGCATTCCTATGGGAAATGCAGATTTGACCTGCGAACTTTTTGACTTGCGAACCGCCTTCCAATACGGATTAAGTTCGCAAGTCAAGACCCCACTGTATCTCATTTGTCAATCCTAAAATGTTTCTTTCACATATTATATTATTATGAACCATTTATTTATACTTTGGCCTTCTCATGTCATCCATCAACATATTTGCCAAGTGACAATACCTTTGCAATACTTTTTTATACTTACAAACTAAAAAGCTGCAAGCACTTTGAAGCTGCTGCCAAAAAGGCTATTAGTATAACAGTGTAATTACATGAAATTTAATTGTATGGAAAAAATCCTATCAAGAATGTGACACCTACCAGAAGTAAGTAAGTAAGTAAGTAAGTAAGTAAGTAAGTAAGTAAGTAAGTAAGTAAGTAAGTAAGTAAGTAAGTAAGTAAGTAAGTAAGTAAGTAAGTAAGTAAGTAAGTAAGTAAGATTTATTTATTTATTTATTTATTTATTTATTTATCAACCACCCTATTAGTGCACACACTACTCTGAGGCAGGGTACACATTTATGAGCTAGGACCCTGATTGTAGAATTACAAGAAAATCATTACTATAAGAGGCAAATTTCTGTTATATGAAGCCTACTTCATATATGAGCCTAAGGAGGACAGGTTGCTTACCTGTAACTGTAGTTCCTCCAGTGGTCATCTGTGAATTCATACATATGGGTTCTCGACCTGTGCAGAAAGCGGACTCGGAATTTTCTAAAACCTAGTGAGGCGATTCTTCAGAGTGACAACGGTGAAGCCTTACAAATTTCAAGCTTTTGTGTAATGTGTCCCTCACGCAGACAAATCAGGCATTTGTCCATACAAATGAGCCACTTTGCCTTCACAAGCAACATAAATCTAGAAAACAGCCTACAGGCCATAGAATTAAAATGAGAAGCAGAAGTCCTCTAGCACTAAGATAACACTATTTTCTCCCCCAAAAGGTTGGGGACAAACAAAAAAGCAGAAGAGGTAAAGGAAGAACTATTTACAGTTTGAAGAATTTTACAATTCTAGGCAAGTAAGGCTCCACTGTTCCCTCAAAATGCTGCTCACATGGCATATACAGGATAACTGGGTGAGAGGGTACCATATGTCGTGTCACACACAGTGGCGCTGGGGGCAGGAGAACTGATTCTCCTTAGGCTATAGAGGTTGCTTTCTGTACAGGCACGGAACCCATAAGTATGATTCTTGGAGACCACAACAAAGAGGTTTCCAATCTAGCAAGTAATACATTTAGCTGCTTTATTAGATAAGCAGGAATGTAACACATACATTTTGATCCAGCCTTTATTGTAGTTAGGAAAAGCAAAGCCAATATTGTAGGAACCAAGGAGATCAATCTCAACATCTCTATTATTATAATCAATCATGGCTGCCATAATTCTACAGTTCTATTCATAAATACATGCCTAAAGTTTGCAAAACAGCTGCATCAATTCTCTCAGCATGAAAATATGTAACAGAGATTTTTGTTAAGATCATTGTAGTTAAGGGAACATTATACATGAGCAGATGAGTCTAGAGAAACATAAGGTATATCTAGACATGATCTAGAGGGGCTGGGTAAAAATCCAATAAGTAAGTAAGTAAGTAAGTAAGTAAGTAAGTAAGTAAGTAAGTAAGTAAGTAAGTAAGTAAGTAAGTAAGTAAGTAAGTAAGTAAGTAAGTAAGTAAGTAAGTAAGTAAGTAAGTAAGTAAGTAAGTAAGTAAGTAAGTAAGTAAGTAAGTAAGTAAGTAAGTAAGTAAGTAAGTAAGTAAGTAAGTAAGTAAGTAAGTAAGTAAGTAAGTAAGTAAGTAAGTAAGTAAGTAAGTAAGTAAGTAAGTAAGTAAGTAAGTAAGTAAGTAAGTAAGTAAGTAAGTAAGTAAGTAAGTAAGTAAGTAAGTAAGTAAGTAAGTAAGTAAGTAAGTAAGTAAGTAAGTAAGTAAGTAAGTAAGTAAGTAAGTAAGTAAGTAAGTAAGTAAGTAAGTAAGTAAGTAAGTAAGTAAGTAAGTAAGTAAGTAAGTAAGTAAGTAAGTAAGTAAGTAAGTAAGTAAGTAAGTAAGTAAGTAAGTAAGTAAGTAAGTAAGTAAGTAAGTAAGTAAGTAAGTAAGTAAGTAAGTAAGTAAGTAAGTAAGTAAGTAAGTAAGTAAGTAAGTAAGTAAGTACAGTGGTGCCTCGCTTAGCGATTGCTTCGTTTAATGAAAAATTCACTTAACGATGCGTTTCTTGGAGGAATTTTCCACATCGTTTAACAATGTTCTCTATGGGGGATTTTCACTTAACGATGTCTGTTTTCACTCATTTTAAAGTGTCTTAAAATGTTTGAAACCTGTTTTAAATGCTTGGAATCGGTAGTGCACCTTGTGAAACCTACACAAACTTAATTTGGCTTTGTTCTGAGTCTTCGAAAGAAAGAAAGAAAGAAAGAAAGAAAGAAAGAAAGAAAGAAAGAAAGAAAGAAAGAAAGAAAGAAAGAAAGAAAGAAAGATATGAGGACCCAGAAGAAGAACAGCTAAATTGGGGTGGGGTGGGGTGGAAGGAGGGCCAATTTTTTTCTGATTTCCCCAAAACAAATTTTCAATAGCCAGAACTTTGTTGGTGTTCATGTAAGATATGGATAACTTGTTGTAGCTAATCACAGTTAATTGATGAGGTGTCAGGGTGCATCTTGGTCATGTGCTTGGTCATGCATCTGATTGTGCAATTAAGATGTGCCCTGGCACATCACCAATTAGCTGGAATTAGCTACAACAGGTTATGCAAAACTTACACAAACATCAAAGGAATCCAGCTAATTATTTTCAGTGGGAAAATAAGAAACTTTAGGAGATGGAGGGAAAATACAGTAAAATAGTTTCTCCTTTATAATGATTTAAATGCTTCTTAACTGAATCAAATCTCCAGATGCTAATATGAAAATTTATATGAAAGGCTATCTACAGAATTAAAGAATGACAATTCTGTGGGCTCATCCAAGACACTTTTCTGCACCTGCTGTTATCTTCATGAGGTGAACATACAGGAGGACCTTTGTTAATTGTAAATTGCAGTGTTACACACGCAGAAGGCAAATGGCGTAACATTCATTTGCTTTTAGCTGGCATTTAGCAGGTTATCACTAAAAGACTTGGCATGATTTCTGCCAAGAAAACAGCTACATCTACCATGTTATAGCATGTAAGCGAGGAAAAATGATTTTTCTCAAATACTTCTGTCTCCAGTGACAGGGCTGCGTCATACAGAATAGCCCACTGCAGAGAGAAGGGTGGTCTCAAGAGAAACATGCTTCAATATTGATATAACTGTCTTGTAGGTAAAAATCCAAGTGACAGAGAAAGATAATTGCGCTTCTTTTTCTTTCTTTCTTCTCTTTTTTAGGAGCACTGAGATTTATGAAGGCAACTTTGTCCAAAGTTCTTCACAAATAAACTGGCACTGGTCAAGATGAGAGTTCTACAAAAACAACAATTTAAACCTACTGAAAAAAGACAATCAAAAAGATGCATTATGTGCATCCTGTAATGCCTACAGGAACCTCTCTATCTCTCTCCCTTCAGTGTTATTCTCATTATTCCCTGGTTTAGGTCTGGCTGGTGCTGCATCTATAATTTGACCATCTATTGATTTCCTATGCTTATACATAGTGAAATAAAAGTTACTGGAGCTAGCTTTTCAAACTTGCATAAAGGATATAAAGGATAAAAAACAACTAACAACAACCCTTCAAATCAATGAGTGAAAAGAAAACCTAGTGCTAGAATTTCAGTTCCCAGATGGTTTTGAACAGCTGCACCAGCTGTTCCATCTTCAACCACACATAATTTATAATAAAGGTGTATAAATGTGAGTCCTTCACATGTAGTTGGATTGCTACTCCAAGTGTTCCCTGCTATTGAAGAGACCGACCACAGCTGCCAAGAAGTGTAATGTGACAATATCTGCAGAGTTACGCTTTCTGGAACTTGTATGTATACCACATGGTGGTAAAGTGCTACACACACCCTGAAATCCAATGCATATAAATGCTACATGTCATTTTTTTTAAAATATCAGAAACAATTTTTTAAATTCAGCAACAAATTGCAAGAATCTTGTAATAAAGGCACCACACCTGGCTGCAGATTGTCCAATGTTCACGTCAGTGAGCACTTGGTCAGGGAAGGGATAAACAGGAAAATGGAACCAGAGTCTGCTTTACAAATGCATCAAACATGGCTAATTAACTACAACTCTTAAACACATTCTAATATTAAAATAAACTCATAATAAAGGCAAAGCCTTCTATAGCAAGAGTATAACAGCAAATAAAATGTTTTCCTTGATAGAGCAAACATGTGATTAGTGCACTAGATCATAATAGGGGGGGAAACACCAGATAAATATGCAAATTATAGTATCTTCCTCCTTACCGTGCTACTACAAGGAACTGATCTATTTGTTTGTCTTTCAGTGGATTAAATGCTTCCCAAACTTTTGTTTCAAGTTTTGATTGGTCCCTGCCATCATCCTCACCTAAACAAAATGAAAAGAAAACCAAAAAAAGGTTTTACTGAATGCTTTACTGAAGCATTTGGCATTATCAAAATCCTAAATATGACAACGCTCAGAAAATTCACAAAGCCTTTAATATTTATTGTCTGACCACATACAGCAATAAGAAGAGTCTGTCTTGCATGCTGCCCAGATTCATAAGAGACTGAAAAGCCCACATTTGACCATGCAGAAATTCAGGATTGCCCCAACATCAGCTTCATTTCACTGACTCACTCAATGATGAACAAAAACAATTGGAAAAGGAAAGGGAATGACTTTCTAGAATTAAACCCTGCTGAATTTAATCCTTATTCATTTATTAAAAAATATTTTTACCACACCTTTCTACTTTAAAAGCACCCAAGGTGGCTTACAACTGTGAAACTCATTTCCTCAGCACTGAATTCAACCATCTCAATTGGGCCCTGCAGGCAAATGGCTACTCCAAAAATGAAATCACAAGAGCCATCAAACCAAGAAAACAACACCAAACTGAAGAAGAAAAACAACCACCCACAAATAAAGTATTTCTGCCATACATCAAAGGGGTCACCGACCGCATGGGGAAACTTTTGGAAAAACAACAACCTACAAACAGTATTCAAGCCCGCCACAAAAATACAACAAATGTTACGGTCAGCAAAGGACAGAAGGGACCCCCTCACCACTGCAGGAGCATACCAGATAACTTGCAGTTGTTGCCAGGTATATATTGGAACCACAAAACGAAGCATCCACTTCAGAATCAAAGAACATGAGAGACACTGCCAACTAAAACAACCGGAACAATCGGCAGTAGCTGAACATGCCCTAAAACAACCTGGACATGAAATTCTATTTCAAAATACAGAAATACTGGACAACACCAGCAATCATTACGTTAGACTGCACAGGGAAGCCATTGAAATCCACAAATATCAGCAGATCTTCAACAAAAAGGAAGAAAATTTGAAACTCAACAAAATTTGGCTCCCAGCACTGAAAAATACAACAGGCAAAAGGTCAACGAACTCTACCCAGCCACAAGCACCAGTGATCACTGCACACAAAAGACCAGCTAACGACACCTATCAATCACAGTGACAGATAATCTCTCCTCCTTATCACAACACTACACCCACAACAAAAACACAGTGCTCACCATAATCACCCATCTCCTGGAAAGGACAAAAGCTGATCTCACAGCCATAAATACTCAACTCCCAAACAAACTGCACCA